AGGATATTCAAGGATAAAGTTTTAAAAGGACTTTTTCAACACTTATTAGTTCTGGTGCACCAAGAAATTATTTATTTTTTTAATTCTACAGAATTTTTTATTTTAATTGATACCCATATTGTTACTCTACAATGCACCTGTTAAGAGGCTCATGTCTCTAATCCTTGTCTTATCCATGCCTAATCCTTGCTACTTACTTTGATCAGGATTATACAAGGATTCGTGACACGAGCCTTCAACAGGATTAAGGATTTTTTGTTATATTTTCGAGTTGTGTCGTTATTCTAGAGGACCATCGGTATGCATATATGTATGTATATAGCAAATCGTCGTTTAAAGTACAAAACCGCGTTTCGTCATTCTGCAAAACCGCGTAACTGAAATTGGCTGCCAAAAATTGGATTTGCTCACACAAACTCTTGGCATAGGATCAACTCGGGAATTAACTGCAGTTAATCCGGATTAAGTCCGAGTTTGTTCGGATCAACGCTGCCGTCTGTTTAAGCTTTAACAGCCAGTTCATGAAAAATGTAAAGGATCAACTCCACACATCGACAACCCCGCTTTAAAAATAGTAGATAAAACGGAGCCTACATAAATTCATATTTTAAAGCCCGAAACATATTGTTCTTATCTATTTTGTTGTTCTTATCTATTTTATACTTTTCATGTGTGATTGTTTTTAAGCATAAAGCCGTTTGGCGTTAAGCGTTAAGCTTAAGTAAATGAAATTAAAAACGAACCAGTCGGATAGTAACTAGATCGCCACCGTTTCAAAAGCAGCCAGATGTGGTACTTTTAAAAAACAATTTTATTTTTAGAAATCTATATCTAAAATGATGAATTTAGAATTGGTTCGAAACTATAGAAAAAGGGATGCAGAACGAACTAGATCGCATCTGGCGAATTTTGAACTAGTTCGGAACTAGCGAAGCGGGTGGATTGTTTAATTAAAGCTGCATTTTTTTGTAATCGAACGGCAAAAGAACGCTCAACTCGGGTAAAATTTCCTTTCAGCTACTTAACAACCCTGCAGGTAGCTAGCAAGAAACATGTGATTAGTTCAATGGGATTTAGACACAAAAAACAATATAAATTAGTGATTATGCGACGTATTTGTGTAATATATATACTTATTTAAAATATAAAGCATGAATATACGAAAACAAAAATTTCCCTCTCCACTTTTCCATTAACAATTCACAATAGAGCAGTTTTTTCACTTGAAACCTGGCTGAACTCGCATAAATAGCCAAGTTTGTGTTGTTGCTTTGCGTGAATTTCGTCATTTAAGCGAGTGTTCTTTTGTGGACCTTTAAATATATTTTTGCTTAGCGGGGTTTTCGTTCAAATACGCTTTCAGTCTGCACTTCGCAGATGCTTTGTCATAGTTTGGAAATACAAAACTAAAAGTTGTGTTAACATGTTAACATTTTGGGAACTATAGAAAGAGGGATGCAAAGCGAACTAGGAAATACAGCGGGGGACAATTTCCAATTCCTATGACATCGCCTTGTTAAATTCGCCAGTTGTTTGCATGCAAAAGAGATTTATCGCGAACTAGCAGTTAGTCTAAATGTACTAGCCATGGGTAATAGCGCAATTTTTTTGGCGCTAGCTCAATAACGACAGCGCCACCTGTGGTGTCACTAACTCAGCGCAACAGCGCAGTGTACTAAATTTAACACGGCGCCATCTGAGTGTCACCACAGTACCCATCGTAGTGCACCATACAGTGGTCTCATATCTATTATTTCTATAATTTTCGGCGCTGAGCAACGCTTGTACCGCCCCCCCGAATTTAATTGCTAGGAATGTTGTAAATGCCACGATATTCTCATCATTCTTGAGTAAAAGCTTTAAATTTGCGTTCTCAACGCTCAAAAGCAAAACGAAAGTACGTGTAAATTTTCAAAAAGGTTAAGGCGAATTGTGCAAGTACTTCATGCGTTGCTTGGTGTTAATGGCGCTGGCGCTTTCCATATACTGGTGTTAGCGCAGCAACTCCGGCTACGGTGTTAACGCAATTGCGCTGCGCAGCGCAGTGTTACCCATGCTTAAAATGTACTAGAAGCGCACCATTTCAGAACTAGAGATTTTTCCCAAAGGGGTATGACTCTGAATGACTCAACTGTGTGTAGTGGAAAGGCGAGTCAACACGTACACCGTTGACTCGCGTGTCAGACGCACAGTGTATACCGCCTATTAGTTTCTTTTCAAAATACAATACAAAATTCCAAACTTATTTTTTTATTATGAAGATAGTGCCATTAAGTACAGTAATTCTGTTGCATAGCCAATAAGCTATCAATGATTCTTAACTTACATAAACTGCAGCGAACGCCAAATATGTATATAGCTTTACCTTTAGAAGGGATCAATTCTAAATCCTCTATAAACCTTAATAAAGAGTTATATTTAGCGTTGCCTAGTTATGTAAAGTTCTTTCTTCCTTTCTATAAGTTGCAAATTTAATGCAAGCAATGCAGCAGGGAATGCAAATTAATGGTAGCTTTAATTCGATCAAAGGAATTTAAACCAACTTGAATTTTTCTAAAAATGCATAGTGTACATACATACATACATATGCATGTACATACATCCAAACAACCGCACAAACTGTTGAAATTTGGTTAATGTCCATGACGGCATTGCGGGCACAATTAACCGACCGATGAACGAATGACAACAGAAGTGAGTAATGTGGAAAAAAGTGCTGCTTTTGCGTGGTACCTCCCGCTTGCACTCACTTCCACACCCCTACTCGCTTTCAAACGAAGTGGAAAAGCAATTAACATTTACGCTAGCATTGCAACACAAGTGCAATCTATACAATTAATTGCTATGCTTGTTGTTGTTGTTGTGGGAGGTGGCGTTGATGTTTTTGGGATTACATTACCCGTCGTAGATTGTTGCATTACTAAGCTATCAGCTCCAGCTATTTAGTCAAGCTGGTAGGAACATAAGTAACCGTAGCTATACTAGCCTTGCCCATACATGCAGACATGCACTGGCGAGTATTGCCAAGTGTGGCGCATTTTTAATTGTAATAAAATTAGAAGCAAAATCTAATTTATGGCTATAGAGCGAAGGGTGTGGTTGTGTCCTTGCCGAACTCATCCAGATGCTCTTGCCATTCGAGTATAGGGGCAACTGCATGTGAAAGCCACAAATTCGTTGCTTTTTACTCACAATGTCGCAATCGCTAGTACTACACTCGGTACGTACGAAAGCGATGGCTGCATGATTTGATTGTGGAAGTTCTTGGTAAATGAAATTTAATGAAGCAAACCAGTTTATAAATATGGCTAATTTCGTAAGCGACACTCTGTTAGCCAAATAAATCTATTGCTTCCCTTATCATGGCCACGTGACTTGCGAAAACACAAAAATTTGATAAACGTAAAACTATGATACTAATTTGGCGAAAGTTTGGCAAGTCCGCCATATAAAATTTTTGTTCAAAATTATGCTACCCACTGCACAGCGAAGTCTGTTAACAAATAACTAGCAAATCTTTTTCGATGATTACGTGTTTTGCGAACCTACTGCAGTAAAGCAAACAGCGTAAAAATAAACGAACGAGGTTAAACAAAAAGAGAATACAAAATAATTAAACCATGGCGGTGGTGCGGGCAAAGCATACCCATTTTTGCTCGCAACTGGCTGAATTTTTAAACTGCTTGCTTACTTGTTGCCGAGCGTTCCACACTTAGAACGGCCGCAAAAGCAGACTTTCGCTTTAATACATCAAAGAACAGGGGTGCTGTTGCATTTGATAACAAGCAAATTATTAGAAACAAATGAAACAAGCAATTGAGCCAAAGTTCACTGAATGTATTTAACGTTAAGTGCTTTAGGAACAAATATAGCAAATTTTTAACGTGCAGGTTCTATTCTATTTTTTTTGGCTCCGGATAGGAAGAACATTTACACATATGTAGGTATATCGTTCTGTTTTTATCATCGGCTCGATCCTAAGTTCGCATTCTTAAATTACGTATGAAACGTCGAAAGGAAGTTATGGGCAATAGTTTAAATAGTGGTTAACAACGAGATGAGGAATGTTTCTATTGATTACTTCTTTTTCTTGCAATATCATTCCTTTTTGCAGATTATATAGGATGGATTCAATTTAAGAACAAATGTGTTTCTACATTTCACACTCATATTTGCTTGACTACTTACCTCTTGTGTTATATCTAAATCGTGCTTGGCGTGGTCGTACAACGTTTCCAGTTCCTCACATTTTTGTTCGAGCGCCGATTTCTCTTCCAGTAACGAAAGACCATACTGCGCTGACTGTGCTCGCTCACTGGCCGCCTGATCTAATTCGCGAGTTAGCCGCTCTACTTCCATACGCAATTCCTCGTTAGTTTTGCCGACCGTGACGGCATTATCCAATTCCGACATACTGCAGCCGTTTTATGTTTGTGTGCTGTGGTTTTGTAATGGACGGGTGGTTTATTTTTGGAGGGGATCTTGGGGGATTAAATGTCAAATGGCTGATGTATTGGGACGAAACGAATTTATGTTTAATGTGTATTAGACGGAATGGGGGATGTCGCTCAAGAAATGTGTGTACGCCGCAACGGTGGGACGATTACTTTCTTAATTTCTCGCTTACGATTTGTATCATATGCAGTGGACGGCGGCCGAACTAGTGTTTACAATGTTTTACGGCGGCTACTGTATTTGAATAGTGGGCGTGGCAGGTTGTTGTGGGCGGATTCGTGACTTGATCGCCTGTATAGCGTTCCAATCGTTGCGTTAAGAGGGACGTGTATGTAAATGTGTCGCTTTTGTTAAGCGTTTTGTGTTGCTAATCCGCTTTGGCCGTTTAAGCCACAGTACCAAATTTTCACTTTGCTCTAATACGCTGCTTTTGTGATGGACGTTTTTTCTAATTTTTCAACTTCGGCATTCACTCCACTTCCATTGTTGTCGTTATCACTTAGCATAACTCTTTCTTAGGTAACATGCTTTATTTTCTAATTTTCCGTTTTGTGCCTGATATATGGCCTCTTTCTCAACTGGCTACTGCCGTTTTGCAAATAACTAAATGAGATTTTGCCAAACACATCGGCTTCACTTCAAGTTGCAACCTAATTAATAAATTGTAGTTATTTATTAAATTGAATTAAATTGCTGCAATACACATCCACTAAGCTCAATTAAAGAAAAGACGCTGCTGAATGTGTAGCATTGTGTGCGCGCTAGTAGATCAAGCAGTTCCAATAGTATACAAAGTATATAATAGAAGGCTGGTTTTAAAGAGGCACTGAACAAGCAATCCAATTAACGAAAAATGAGAAGCAGTGACATCACGGCGGAGCCTTTTCACTTCACACCACCACACAAACTTGTACTTCCACCTCGAGTCTTCACAGTTTTTTCACCGCCCCTTTAGCAGGGTTTAGAAGGAATACCCTTCTTGCTTTCACAATTTTTTATTATTGAGAAGTATAGGCAAATACTTTACTGTAGTAAATTGTGTATATAAGTTCTTATTTTGTTTAAGGATTTTCCAAAGGTGGAAAATCTGTATCACAATGCCAATTAGAATCCACGTCTTTTCTTTTCAGTGACTAACGGAATGTGTGTGTGAAATTTTGCACTCTGTCAAAATGTCAACTGTCAAATAAATGCCAAATGTCAAACAAAAACTTTGATCCCTAACCGGTTCGAACCAGCGCATTTTGATCCCTAAAGCTAAAGCTCCATAACAGGTTTTTCAAGCGTTGCGGCTTGAAGCGTTCAAGCCTGAAATATGATTTTTTGCTATTATCATGATTCAATAATTAAAGGCTCAATAAACTGACAGTTGTCCTTTCATGTGAAATAGAATTTTACGTTTTTGTACAATATGTTTATTTGCATATGCATATAAAGCACATTAAACTACGTAATTTCATGTAGATATCTTACTATATCCCTCAATATTTCGTATAAAATGCCAAATTTCCTGTAAACACATTAGAATATACACTTCACTACTAATTGCTTACTTTGCGCACTTTTCTACTAGCATTTTCGCACCAAGGGATTTCATTCTTCTCCTTTCTCTGTCCTTTGTAAATGCAACCGTAAATAAGGGAGTGTCAAACGGCGGCTGTCAATAATTATCTAAACTTTAATTATTGAATCACTGAATTGTAAAGAAGCTGCTCCACAACCGAAGTCCGTAAAACCTGAAAATCCTGAAAGGTACCAAATTTCGAACTTGTTTCAGGCTTTGTAGGCTTTTCAGGCGTCGTCGCATTCGAGCACTAGTACTGGTAAATATGATTATGGCAATGTTGTAATCGTTATCACTTATAATACTTTTAATGAATTTAACACAAAATTATTTATGATATGAAAATTAATTTGAAAGAGGTGAAAAAGTAGTGCCTGAGCTAGCAGCTCATTCCTACACCATTCTCCCACTTACTGCAAAATGTAAAAGATTCGAAGAAACGTCAAGCGCAAAAAGTTCGTTATGGAGGTGCTCGCCTGAAAAGCCTGTAAAGCCCGAACAGCTTCGAAAGCATGTACGACTCAAAAGGCGCAACTCCTGAAAAACCTTCTATGGAGCTTCAGCTTAACCGCTTGAAAAGCCTGTGGCCTAAAAATGCAAAATGCATATTAACAGAGATTTTAATTCGAGCAATTGAAAATGTTATAGGTATAACTTTGTTCACAATTTGTTTGAAAAAATGTCAAAAAAAGGTATTTTTTTGGTGATTCATACTTAAAAGCTTGGATTTCAGCTCCCACGAAAAATCGCAAGAAACATTTTTAATTTTTTCTGTTGCTTGAAAGAACTCTTTGCCTTTGCTGTATTTTTTTTGAAGAAATAAATATACGACCTTTTTTTCTTGAGAGCTCGTGGAATCAAAATGTTTTATAAGCTTTTCTGATTTTGGTGTTATTTAATGAAAATTGGCAAATAGAAAACTTCGTGCGGTTTGACAAACCTATCCGGCTGTAAAAATTTATTGCAAATGAGGCGATTTTCGCACACACAATACAAGCGATTTGTTCCGACTTCAACACGGCGAAAGAAAATCAAAAATATATATTTTTGAACAAATTTCCCTTCCTGTTAAACCTTCAATTACTCACACCGCACAACACGTTGGCGATAAAGGGAAATTTCGACATGTTTGACAAACCGCTTCCGTGGTGTATCTGCCCCTTTAGATTTTAAGAAATCTTCTCATGATTTGTTAAGCCAGGCAACCCTGTAGTCAGCTGTCTTCCTCTATAAACAAAAACCCACACACAGACAACGGTTGGCCAATGAAAAACATGCATAGAAAAGAAACGAAAACATCAAGCAAGAGTTGAATTGCAGAAAATTTTCGTGAGCTATATGTTTTTCTTGACTTGAACTACTAATTAAATAAAATTTGTGATCATAAAATAAATTTGATAAGAATGTAGAGCCCGCAATATATTTCTGTGTGAAATATCTGAAAAAGTGTCGAGAGAATTGCGCAATAGTGTTCTAGGTGAAAAAAAGACTTTAAAGAACGGCAACAATCAACCACACGGAGGCAATCACGAATAGGAAGGCAAACTATAGTTTCACTTCCCGCAGCCCTAAAACGTGTTTAATTAGACTTTGGTTGTACATTTAACGAATATTTGTGCTTTGAAACGTATATCACTTTCAAATTAGTTTCACTTCTAAACTTTGAGAACTTGGAACTCTTGCAATATTGCACAGGTGTGGTGTGTGTGGGCGGTAAAATAGCGGCTGCGGCTAAAGCAGGTGAGGTCACAGTTGCACACACAAAGCGCAAATATCGTACGAAACAAAGGCATTGGCTGCGCTATGGAAGTGAAGGAGGTTTTGCATCGTGAGGGAAGAGATGCGAAAAATTTACTTGTCTTTCAATTTTGTGAAGAGCAACCGCCCACTGATGGAAGGCAAAATGCTACGGGAAGTAAGTACTTGACACAGTAATATTTATATTTGTATGTAGCAATATATAATTTCTTAACTTCTAAAATTGAAAAGAAATCTCACCCTCTTCTCTGAATGTGCGCAAACCCCCAGTTGCACCATCGAAATCACCCAACTCGCTGAAGAACGCTCTTTCGCCAATACGTTCGGCGAAATTGCAAAATGCGGGGCCGCGTGTGCGTAGCGCTTCCACAGGTCGTGATAAAAAATCTGAGCTGCAAGCCCGTTATTGGGCACTGCTATTCGGCAATCTGCAACGTGCTGTCAATGAAATCTATCAGACGGTGGAATGCTGTGAGAACATATCATGGTGCCAGGAGGCAATTTTGGTGCTCGAAAACTATGTGCGTGATTTCAAAGCGCTGAGCGAATGGTTCAAAGTTTCATGGGATTTCGAGTCACGTCCGTTGCAGCAGCGCCCACACTCACTTGCATGGGAGGTGCGCAAGAGTAATCCTGCACCACGTGTGCGCGCCAAAAGTCTAACAAGTCCCACTATGTCGGGCAAATCCAGTCCTTCGGCATGCCCATGCACGTCCGGGAAGTCATCGCCTTGCTGCGGAGGTAGCAGTGGAGACTCACCATCGCCACGTAAAAGCTTGCGCGCATGTGATCCTCTGCCGAAAGGAGCTATGCGCGTGAATGTGCGCGAACTGTTCGCCCCAAGTAAAGTAAGAACGGTTAATGAGCGCTCAATAGATGGATCCGATCAAAAGAAATTCACATCGACTGAGCAGGAGGTGCATGCAGAAGCCGAGCCGATGGACTTGCCGAATAGGAGTCATCAGTATGCACAGACTGATCTTGAAGATGATCATTTAACATTAGCAGATATAAGAATTAAGATGCAGAGAGAAGCTGAGGAGCGCCAGTTGGCTGAGCAGGCTGAGCAAGAGCGCTTTCGAAAAGAGCAAGAGCTTGAGAGACATCGTCAACTAGAACAGCAGCAGCTCGAGCAGCAACAACAACTGCAGCAGCATGAGCGGGAACGCCAGCAGGCCGAGCAAAAATTGCTAGAGCAACAGCAGAAGCAGCATTTGCGGGAAGAGAACAAGCTGGTGGATGAGAATTTGCGGCAAGAAGAAGGGAAGATCTCATCAGCAACTTCAGATATAAATAGCAAGCAGGAAGCAATTGTAGAAAATGGTAATGATTCCAGCGCCACCGATACGGATGATTCACATTTCGGCATGCATCGCGAGCCAACTGCACTAGAGATGACTGTGCAAAAACTGAACGAAATGGAGAACGAAATTCTCCTCAAAGATGCTAATAAAATGCCAACACCGCCAACGACTGAACTGAAAAATGTAAACCACATAGTTGATAACAATGCAGCTGCCAGCGCTGGCGCATCAGATAATAAGAAGGATGCTGTCGCTCCAGACAGTACGAAGAAAACAGCAGTGGCCGCACCCGCTCAAAATGGTCCTTTAAAATATTCCAGTGTCTTAAATCGCCCCGCTACTGCACGCACTGCCACATCGATTGTCTCAAAACCATCAATAACGGTGCGTCCTCCAACTGCTGTTGCGCCAGCTAATAAGCCAATCGCATCGCAAGCGCAAAAGGTCGCGCCCAACATCAGTTTACGTCGCTCTGCCACTACTGCTTCTGTCATAAAAACTGCTTCTGTGCGAACAGCGGCTGCAGTCACCGGAGCTGGCTCACGGCCCATAACAACGCGCCCGTCCAGCAAGACTGAGCACTATGGACCGCCAACGCATGTTGCTTCACGCTTATCCGCGCGTTCACGCACGATGATTGAAATGCAGCCCAAGGAGCAAAAGCCACGCGATGGGCGGCAGCAACAGCAGAAACGCAATGCACAGACGGCTGTGGCTTCCCAAAAGTCATCGCGAGAAGATATTGGAAGTTCAAGTTCAACGCTCAAAGCCAGTACAGAACTCATATCGTCTTCCAGAAGCAGTCTCTCGCAAACTGCTGCCGGCGCAGTGCACATAGACGACCGGCGTTCGGAGCCGAAGCAGTTGCCGTCCGACCCGAACGATGGCTGGTTGACAGTGAAGAATCGGCGCCGCTCCAGCATGCATTGGGCACATCGCTTTAATCAGCCAACGGGATATG